TCCGGGCATCTTCAAGTTGCCAAGGTTGAGAAACACTGTCCTAACCACTGCTGGGGAATTCTGTGAGTTGAAGTCCGGGCATCTTCAAGTTGCCAAGGTTGAGAAACACTGTCCTAACCACTGCTGGGGAATTCTGTGAGTTGAAGTCCGGGCATCTTCAAGTTGCCAAGGTTGAGAAACACTGTCCTAACCACTGCTGGGGAATTCTGGGAGTTGAAGTCCGGGCATCTTCAAGTTGCCAAGGTTGAGAAACACTGCACTAAGGAACCCTGGTCCCTTCAGAGCTTTCTGCACCCCATGCCCCCCACCCCGCCTCTTGGGCAGAAGACCCCCCAAGGGGAGTCTTCCCTCTGCCTGGACCCTGTTGGAGAGGGCTGATCTCCCCCCCTTTGGGGCCCATAGCGTAGCACACCCTGCAAAGCCAAGCATCCCCCCCCACACACAAACACACCCTGCCCTGAAAGGTCCATTTTTTCCTCTCCCACCCCACCCCTAAAAACGCACAAAGCCCCGTCTTTTCTCTCGGCGAGGGGGTCCTCTGTCGCTCTCTGGTAACCGCCTTTTGTGTGTTTGGTGTGTCCCACCCTTATTTATCGCTGCTCAGACTGTCTTTGGAAGTCATGACCATCCTCTGTCGCTGTGAGAATATTGAGACGTCGGAGGGGGTGCCACTGTACGTAACGGGGGTCGCTCAGGTAATAATAATCCTCCCGCTCCCCACGTTCTCTGCCTAACCTTCCTCCCTCTTGCCTCTCTCTGCCCCACGCAGCACAGCAGCAGCAGCACCACCGCAGCCGAAGACACCCCCACCCCTCCACCCCGCTCCCCAGCCTCTTTTTCTTCCGACGGGCCCCTCCTGGCACCCGCCACCCCACCCACCCCTTCTGGCTCTGGCTACCTGCCGTTGCCCTCCATGGTAATCCAGGGAGGCGCATGGGGAATGCTCCGTGTCTCGGGGGGAGGGGGGACGCGGCTGGCACTCGCTTCACAAACCTGGCACAATAGGAGTCTGGGGGCAACAGCTGAACCCTCCAGGGCAAACTGCACCACTCTGCACGAGGTCCGACCTGCCAGTCTCTTTGGCCCAGGAGACCCCCCCGTCAACCTGTGGCAAGGGTGGGCCATCCATTTTCCCCAAGGAGCCACATCATTGTTGCAGAGAACGGAAGCCGTAGGCCTGTGGAGTTGTGTAGCTATGCGCTCACATGTGTACGCCGAACACAAAGAATAAAGATGCGGGTACTGCACACACAGGGTCCCTGTGGCTGGACAGCTGTTACGTGAGCTTTGCCCCCCTCGTACGGCCTTCCTCGCCAGCGTCGTTAAGCGAATCCCTGCAGTTGCTAAGCGAACCACGCGCGAAGGGAATCTGGTTTCCCTGTGGGAAATCAAAAGCTCGCAAACGTGACCCCAAGACCACCAAGACACGGCGAACCGTCACAAGCAGGGGTGGGTTTCAACCGGTTCGCAGCAGTCCCTGCGAACTGGTTGGTCGCCGAACCCGGAAGTAAGTAACTTCCGG